TTTAAAGAGGGGAAAGATTGGAAACATAGCTCAAGGCATAGGCCTTGAGTTCAATTCCCAGTACCACAGAGAGTGAGAGAAACTGAGGGAGGAAGGGAGGGAGGGAGGGAGGGAGAGAGAGAGAGAGAGAGAGAGAGAGAGAGAGAGAGAGAGAGAGAGAGAGAGAGAGAACTCAGTTTTTCCTAAATAGATTTACTATATATTTGGTCCTTTTAATTTTGTTCTGAGATGGCTGCTAACAGCCTTCCTCACTTGCTGTGTGCATATCCACCGCTGCTACCCTGCAGAAATGCTTAGACTTCCTGCAGTGTTCTGCTAGGTGAGGCTAGTGTCCTGGGTCCTGGCTCTGCAGCTTATTTGGGCAGATGCCAAAGATGTGAAATTCAGTATGGACACCCATGAGCTCATGCTTCAGGGTGGCGATCTCCTGGCCCAGGCTGTCACCATTATAGTGGGACCAAAGGGAAGAACAGTGATTACTGAGTAGATTACATTGGGGAAGTCCCAAAGTAACCAAAGATGATGTGGCTGTTGTGAAGTCAATTGAGTTAAAAGACAAATCTAAAAATGTTTGGGCTGAACTTGTTCAAGATGCTGCCAACAGCACAAACAAAGAAGAGGGTGGGGGATGGCACCACTATGAATTTCCTGGCATGCTCCATGGTCAAGGAAGGCTTCCAGAAGACCAGCAAAGATGTGAATCCTGTGGAAATCAGGAGAAGTGTGATGAGGGCTGTTGGTGCTGTGATTGCTGAATTTAAGAAACAATCTGATCCTGTGATAACCCCTGAAAAAGTTGCTCAGGTTGCTGCAATTTCTGCAAGTAGAAACAAAGAAATTGGCAACATCACATGTGATCCTAGGGCGGTTAGCCTGAAAGTGGTCATCAGAGTATAGAATGGAAAACTCTTGAATGATGAATTGGAAATTATAGAAGGCATGAAGTTTGGTTAAGGATATATTTCTCTGTACTTTATTAGCACATCAAAAAGCCAAAACTGTGAATTCCAGGATGCATATGTTCTACTGAATGAGAAGAAAATCTCTCACATCCAGTCCATTGTACCTGCTCTTGAAATTGCCAATGCTTACCAAGAGCCCTTAGTCATAGTTGCTGAAGACATTGAGACAGAAACTCTCAGTACCCTGGTTTCAAACAGGCTAATGGTTGATCTTCAGGTTGTTGCAGTCAAAGCTCCAGGGTTTGATGACAACAGGAAGAACCAGCTGAAAGTCATGGCTACTATTCCCTGTGGTAGTTGGAGAAGAGGGATTGACCCTAAATCTTGAAGATGTTCAGCCCTACAACTTAGGAAAAGTTGGAGAGGTCTTCATGATCAAAGATGATGCCATGCTTTTGAAAGGCAAAGATGATAAAGCACAAAATGAAAAATATATTAAAGAAATCACTGAGCACTTGAAATCACAACCGGTGAACACGAGGAGATACTGAGCAGCTGGCAATGTTTTAGATGGAGCAGCTGTGCTGAAAGCTAGTGGACAAGTGATGGTGAGGTGAATAAGAGGAAAGACAGGGTCACAGTGGCCTCAGTGCTTCAGGGCCACCTGCAGAAGAAGGCATTGTGCTGCGGCAGCCGTTCCCTGCTTCTGTGCACTCCCGCCCTAGATGCCTTAACTCCTGCTAATGAAGATCAAAACCTTGGATGGAAGTTATTAAAAGAACACTGCAAATCCCTGTGATGACCATTGTGAAGAATGCTTCTGTGGAAGGATCTTTGATAGTTGAGAAAATCCTTCATAGTAACCTCTGAAGTTGGTTATGACCCTCTGCTTGGAGACTCTGTGACTATGGTAGAGAAAAAGAATTATTAATCCAACAGAGGTGGTAAGAACTACTCTGCCTGAAAAAAAAAAAAAAGAGGGGTCAGGTAAATGGCTCAGTAGAATAAGTGCTTCCCTGGCAAGCGCAAGGGCCTGAGTTCAATCCCCAGGTTCCTGCCAAAAAAAACTACTCCGCCTGATGCTGTGGGGGTGGCCTTTCTTTGACAATGGCTGAAGTTATGGTCACAGAAATCCCTAAGGAGGAGGAGGACCCTACCATGGGTGCCATGGGTGGATGTTCTGGCCTAGTACAATGCTCAGCCCTCACTCATGAGCTGGCCAGGAAGCGACATGCAGGATCCTCCCCAGTAACTTCAGAGAATTCACGGGAAGGAAAAGAAGAGCATGCTGGCTGATGCAAGGAGACGGCACACCCACCATTGTTGCTTTCAGTTGCACTATGTAATGGCTTCCCACATCACTGTCCATGCCTAAGACAATTTATTGTGCAGTTTTGCATACAAAAACATTTGTGCATTCCTGAAACTGGATGCCAGAGCCACATACCAGTGTACTTCTTTCAACTCAAATCTCAGAGGCATTTCTTCTACTCTTCTGTTGCAGTCAGGATTGCAGTACTTGCTGTCACAGATGTGAAGTTCAGGAGCAGCCTTTCTGTGGAAGTGGAAGAACAATTGTGTACAAAATAGGGAAGAGCATGATGTGACAAACTGTGTAATAAAAATTTGTTTAAAGTTTAAAAAAAAAAAAAAGGGTTGTGTTTTCCTACAAAAGTATTATGGCATCAGGCATGGCAGCACATGCCTGTAGTCCCAGGACTCCAGATGGCTAAAGCCTGAGGCTAACAAGTTCAAGCCAGGCCAGGACAATTTAGTAGTTTAGGGAAAGCCCATCACAAAATAAACTTTTAAAAAGGGAAGGCTGGGGATGTAACTCAGTGTGAAGGTCCTCGGTTTAGCCATCAGCACTGGAGCAAAAACTATGGCAATATTAACGTGCTTAACACTGTACATAAAAGATGAACACAATACCAGACTATCCTCTGTAAATGAGCATCTGCTGACAGCAGGGCCCCAATGCTGCCTGAAGTTGACTCTTACTGCTTTCAGACAGGCCCACAGGCCAAGCTGTGAAGAGTAGGGGGAAAAGGGAAGGAGATGCTTTCTGGGGCTCCTTTTCCCGGCCGCAGAAACCACAGTCTACCTACAATGCCCTCTGTCCCATTGCAGCCAGCCAGACTATTCCTGGGCCAATCCGTTGCCATCACCCAAGTAACTGCATTGGACTGCTTTGCTTTGGAGAAGAGTGACACCTGAATCAGTGCTTCCTATGCGCGGAGTCTAATGTCTGCTTTTCATTCCAACTATTTTGTTACGTCTCCTTTAAAGGCCTGAAATGAAAGGGACAGAAAGTATCACTGGCCTACCTACTTACTATATAATGCTAATGCTCAAATTAATTTTAAAAATGAAGAGAAGTTAGAGAATTAATTTGTAATAAAATACCATTTCAGTATGTAAAAGCTTAGACAACAACACCAGAAGATGTGACAACGTGACCCACTGCTCACTGTATACCCAGATTCACAGGAACATCCACAAATGTGCCACTGAGTTAGTGACAAAATGAAAGCTCCAGTCACTGCTGCCTGAATGCCAGGAGCATTCCCAGCCACTTACTGTGATAACACCTCTCACTTAGTTTTCCAAGTTGTCTTTATAAAACTTAGATTAATAATCTCAAAGTGAAATATTTAGCAACCTTAGAAAATACTTGACTGACTGCACTACTGTGTAACTACTCGATCTGTCCTTTGCTTGTTTTTGTTAGTCTTTAAATGATAATGTCATGCTGCATAAAAAAATCTCATCAATTAAAGCTGATATTTATTGAAACTTACTAAATAACTATCACTTTCCAAATCATTTTGAATTTATTAATTTATTCAGTGCTCATAGCTCGGTAAATACTATCTTTTTCCAGAGATATTTCGCATAGGAAGTTAAGTAACTCTGGTGACATCACACATCCAGCTACATTTGTTTTTGTTGTTGTTTTGTGGTACCGGTGATTGAACTCAGGACCTTGTGCCTGCCAGGCAAGTGCTTATTCTACTGAGCTACCTCTCCTGCCTGCTACATTTGGCTTGTTGTAAAAGTAAGCAAGGAAAGTATTAGCTGTGTTTTCACTTTAAGAAAGGTTTTCTTTTGCGGTACTGGGGATTGAACTCAGGACTCTGCGCTTGTCAGGCAAGCACATATTCTACTGCGCTATCTCCCCAGCCCTAAGAAAGAAGTAACTTGAGGATAAAATGATGTTTCTTTCTCTGATACCTATCTGTGTTTACAAGTTGAGACCATGAATTCTTGGTCTACTTCGTGCTCTTAGCACTTGGAATGTAGGTGTGTCTCAGTTATTTTTCTCTTATTGCTGGGACAAAATATCCAACTCTCAAAATTAAGGAAGGCAAGGTTTATTTGGCTCACGATTGTGGAGGTTTCAGTGCATGCTCAGCTGGCTCTGAGGCAGAGTGGCATGTGGCAGAGGGCAGCAGCTCATGGTGGTGCAAAACAGCAAAGAGCAAAGAGTACCCGCCCCAGGCCAGGTGTAGCACTCACTCATAATCCCAGCACTGGATCATGAATTAATCACACATTCTAGAAGCCGCCCCAGTGACTGCATGAGGCTTTGGAAGAACAACAAGGCACAAGCCCTAACGAGGTGCTTTAGGAACTTAGTACTTGATTCAGATGTTTCAGAATGCCTTTTCTCTTTGTGGTGTTTTATCTATATGTAAAATTATGGGCACACTCATTAGAAATTTGGAATAAAAATGGGTTTTCTCTATATTATTCTTTTACTGCCAAATGTCTTGCTCCACATAGAGCCTATTTTAGCTGGATTAGGAGCATGAGTTAAAATCAGCTTTTGTACTAAGTAGAAGGACACCATGACCATTCTACCAAGAAAAAAACACTGTGGGCAGAAGCCTCCCAAATATGCCAGGAAATTAGAGCCACATGTCATCATTCAGGGAAAGAAATGTACTTTTTCCTGGAAAGAGCCAAACAAGTGTTTTAGCTGAGCTTTATTATTAGTCATATAAAATTGGATTTTATGCTCATAGAACTCTTCAGAGTACAAAGAAACAGTAACTTATTCCCAACAAACCTGTGCTGTACCTATTTGCCTTTCAGGGGGAAAATGATCCCATCTGATCTCGAAAGGAGAATCCTTGAAGTCAAACAGAAAGTAAGTTTTTGTAGTCATCTTATCTAGCCCATAACGAACTAAGGATCTGTATTTCCATTTCTAATCAAAGACCTCACTTAGGTTTTATTTTGAAAAAGAACCTATATTATTCAGCTTTCTCATTACTAGAACAAAACAGCTAATACCCACACTTTAAAGGAGGAGAGGTTTATTTGGCTCATGATTGCGAAGCGTGCAGTCCATCACGTGCGATAGCAGAAGAGCCTGGCAGGGGAAAACAGCTCACCCATGGCAGCGAGGGGGCTGAGAGAGGAAGGGGGAGTTAGGGACAAGAAAACACCCTTCTAGGTTACAACCCAGGGTCTGCTCTCTTCTAACCAGGCCCCACAGCTCAACAGCACATTCAACCATGAGCTCATCAATGGATTAGTGCACTCATGGGTATAGTGGCCTATGGTCCACTCATCTTCCAAAGTCCCAGACCTTGAGGGAACATTTTAGGCCTACACCAAAGCAGAATCCAAACTTCACAGATAGCTTGAGGATAACAACACACAATATAACAACCATTGTTGAATTCCTATTATATTGTTTTGTGAAATTCTGTATCATTTGTCATTGGTTTTACTATTTCTTTATTCTCTTTGAACAATAAAAAACTTTAAAAGTGACTTCAAATCTCCCAGCTTTAAAAAATATTCTCTGTATCCAATAATTATTTGCTTCTTTCTGCTATGTACAGCTTCTAAAGAAAACATTTAAGAATTATACAGGTTTTAGGAAAGATTAAGTTGCTGTATACATGACTTATGCAGAGATATTGTAACAGTTTCTGATGCATTTGCCTTTGAATATGCTGAGTGTGCACACTAAGGAAACACATTTGAAGATCATTTCATAGGTGGAAAATACCAGAATATTCATGCAGCATGTGAGTTACAATTGTACAGTTATTTAAAAGAACCAGTTTTTTCTGCCTGAACACATGCTGAGATGATTGATTCTCCATAGATCTAATTTTGTAGGCAGCAATTTAGAGCTCTTTTTTAGAAGCAGTACGTTCTGAAGACTTGACAAAGATTGCCACAAAGCTCAGGAAAATCATTTCCATCTCTGACTGGTTTGCAAGTCAGAAAGTTTGACTTTAAAAATTCTGTTTAATTTTTAGTGAATATACTCTTTTGTTCCAGTTTTAGAAATATACATATGCATTTTGTTACTGTAAACTTAGGTGTAATTATTTTTCCTCCATAACATAAGCCATAAGAATAAGCCTTGGCTGCCACATAAAGACCAACTTCTAAAAATCATGTTCTGTAAACCAGCAGGATACCATCATTATGGAGTAAGTGACTAGACTAATCCTATTTACGGCATTTTTCTGCCTATTTTCAAATGTATCAATCTTTACTTAGCCACGGCCAGACAGACTGAGGACTACTCAGATGGATCAAAGTCCTGCCTTATCGTTTAGCTCCATGGAAACTCTCCTCTAAGACTTTTTTTGTTCTTCCTCTAGCTGCTCACAATAGAGAACGTACAAGCTCAGAGCTTCTGTTGTGAAGAGGAAGACTAGAAATGAGCAAAAAGATTAACAAGGCCAGAAAGGCCACCAGAAATGTATAAATAAATGGCTTGTGGACATCACTGACAACCTTTGGCTCAGAATATTCGTTCCTGAGAACTCAATGTCTGCTATCATAAGGCAGCTGTTGGGTTTACCAGAATGATCTGGAGAATGCAGATTTGGGGTGTGGATATTGAACCATGCAAGATTTCAGATATACAGATATGTATATGGCAGGGGAAAGATTTCCATTGCTTCTAATCAGTTTATTAAAAGAAGCCTTGAACCTCTGTTTGCCTTATGTGGGGTTTTCTCATTTGTGTAGGGATTTGTTCCTTTCCTTGTAAGTGCCACAGCTGGAACCACCGTATATGGAGCATTCGATCCTCTGTTAGCTGTGGCTGACATCTGCAAAAAGTACAAGATCTGGATGCACGTGGATGTAAGTACCCCTTAAGGAATACACAGCTCACAGGGTAAAAGTATTTGCCGGAAGTAGCCTGAGGCTGATTGTGTCTTAAGGTTTCCAGTAGGAAAGTATTCTTACTTCTATGACCAGTACTAGAGCCAAATGCTTGGTTTTTTAATGCATAGAGCCCTTGGAGGAGTATAATCTACATACAGTCGCACATATGCCAATCTATATTCCTAATGGCAGGAGGACCACAGTTGAACCCAGTTGGACAAGTTAACAACTTAGCAAGATCCCATCTCAAAATTAAAATTTTAAAAAGGGTGGGGACATAGCTCCATGCAAATGATCTGGGTTCAGTCCTCAGTGCCGCCAAAGAAGGGGAATAGGTGAAGGGATTTGCATTTATTTAGAAAACCCAGTGGGTGAAAACTCAGGCTCAAGCTAGGTATTCATGTAATTAGAGGGGAAAGCTGGGTTAACAATTTACTAGGAAATATTGACTACTAAATTTCAAATTTTTTTGTCTTGATCAACTAAGAAGCTAAATTATATTTGAGATGCTTTGACTGAAGTTTTAATTATATTAAAAGTTAACAGAAGTGTGCCATTTTCAAATGAGAAAGCTGACATTTCTTGAAGGGATGAAGTGAAGAGATTTAAGTTAAGATCAGCATATTACTCAAAGCATGGTCTGGAGATCAGCTGCCATCTCTTAATCATTTGCTCATGACCTAAGATGAGGTAAAGAGCTTATGCCACCACCACCGATTATAAACCATCACAGCTAAGCACATCGTTTGGATTGGCTGATTTATTTTCATGGCAAGATTTTCTCAGTGAAGGAAGCCATAGTTGATATATATTCTAGTACAAGATCTCTGTGCTCTATGAGCCAGCACTTTGAGCAGTGCTGTGTTGGGCCATTTTGAATTGCAACCTAAAAACTGTTTAATGGGTTCCTCAGCTACTCTACATACAGAATGACCATACAGTTTTTTCATTCTGAGAACCCGGACTTCACTAGAACTGACAGTGGTGGTGATGAGGTACAAAGAGGGTCTTTGTCTAACTCATATGGACTGAGGAAGTGTGCCCCTGTTTGGCTCCTTATACCTATGTCAATAAGAGAACAGAATTTGGAATCTTAGAATGATACTCCAACTTGAACTTTATGGTCTTGCACCAGAGGAAGGTGTCCAACCCCTGTTAGTTGCCTAAGGTCAGGAAGATCAGTTTTACCCTGAGACTTAGTACTCTGGAAGACACCAAAATATGGTTATGAAAACCTGCTCCTTTTTCCTTTGTTTGATCTTCTTTTTCAGGCAGCCTGGGGTGGGGGATTACTGATGTCCCGGAAACACAAGTGGAAGCTGAGTGGTGTGGAGAGGTACACACATTTTTCTTGTTAACAATGTAAGATGTTGCAAGACCAATGTGAAAAGCAAATGCTGCTCCCTTTCCAGGAATGGCAGGTAGGGTACTCTGCCCTGTGCTTTGTGTGTAGCCTTGTGTGATGTTGCACTTAGGTACAGAATATATAAACCACCAAAAAAAAAATAAAATCTAATCCCCATCAAGTGAGCTGGGCAGAATGTCTCTCAGAAACAGAATTTTCTATGTGGGGTCTATTCTTGGGGTCCCTGCACTAGTCATCAAAAGTGTTTAGAACTCATAGGCAGTCTACATTTTTCTAGGCAGAAGATCTATAACTTTCATGTTTCTTAAAATAATATTGTCCATTCCTTTGACAATATCAACACATTATTTTTCATAGCAAATAAGCATCTCATAATTCATCAAGGTTGAAAGTTGAAGTTGGGATTTAATATAGCCAGTTCACTTAAAGTCAGACACACAATAACACCATCCTATGGTTTCTTTCTCATAATATCCTTTTTACTGACAGCGCTCTGACTGATGCTGAAAAATAGAGCTTTAAGACATAGACCTTTAAGAAAAAGCTGCAAAAAATACAGAAAGTAATATTTGATTAGCATAAACTGTTTTTAGGTCCAAGGGGAGAAATGCAGAATGTGAAACACGGCCTCAGGCACTTCCGGCCGAGAGGCAGAGCAAGGCCAGAGTTCCCACCCCAACGTGGCACATTAGCCAGGTCAGCCACACCAGGGAGCTCTGGCACTCCAGGCCACCGAGACAGCCTGAATTCATCAAAGGCTGCCAGATGCCACCATGCCCTGCCAAGTGGCCAGATGCTGCCCAGGGAAAGCTTTACACTGGCTTTGCCTGGAGACCTCTTGGCACACAATTCCTGTTCCAGAACAAGGATTCAGGCTGTTATTCTCTGGAGCATCTATTACCACTGACCATGCAGGGTGCCTAAGCCAGAGGCATGTGTGGAGTCTGCTCTGTGACACCCATACTGGCTCACATGCAGAAAACCCACAAGTGTGGAAGGAAGGGATGGAGCCAAGAAAACTATGCTGAATTAGTGGAAAGAAGGCTTGGAAGGATCAGGACAGGACAGCTACACCCTACATCAGAGGGTGACTGTCCTTGACTTTGCTGGCTAGGGAAGGGTGTGGACTGGGGACAGCTGGTTAAGCCCCTGGAGATATCCATGCCCTGATTGCAGGCCCCATATAGGTGTAGAGGCCCTGGGGACCAGTAGGTCTTCATCCCAGTATCAGTCAGTTCTAGGCCTCTGCTTCTGATCCTTTGGGCTTCTGCTAAGCCTGATCCATTTCTGTCATGGAGACCTAAATGAAACCAGAGGCTTAAGCAAGAGGCAATGATTGAAACAAGGAGAAACAATGGAGAGAGGAGGGAGAGGAAGGCAGAGAGGAAAGAAGGAAGGGAGAGAGGGAGAGAAGCAGAGAGATGGAGAGACAGAGACAGAGAGAAACAGAGAAGCAACTTGGAAGTTGCCTGCTCTAATGATCAGAACATGAATTAAATTCATGGATTAGGGCTTTTGGGCATAGCTCAGTGACAGAGTTTATGCCTAGCATTTTTGAGGCCCTAGGTTTAATCGCTACAACCATACACACACACACACACACACACACACACACACACACACACACACACTTAAATGTCTGGGATTTTGAGAGGCACGTTCTCTCCTGTGAGTTTCTTTCTGACTGGTGCACCTGTTGTCTTACCTTTAATGCCACCTGTGGCTACAAGTGCCACAGAGTCTGCTTCACTTGAGAGCTCACTAAATTACCCAGCTGGAAGCTCAGAAAAATAAAACCCCAATGTGCTTTTGTACTACAGACTACTTTGATAGCAAAGTTCAGCACATTCATCATGGAATACACAATCCTCTGTGTTTTTCCTGGTGTAATTCTTGAGAGCATATTATATTTAAATCTACAAAATAGTGAAATATAAAGCCCTAAAAATGAGAGGATGGCTAGCATTCTGATCAGCACAGAGCCTCCTTAGCTACACAGCCACCTGAGACTGTACTTCGCCAGCTTCTTAATGCAAGGGGCTTTCTTTGGTGTATATGGTTATGGGCCTAGTGGGCCCTGCTACAGCATAACCTGCTTGGGTTTACATTTAGGAAAGACATGTGTCCTTCTTGAAGGAATTACTCTCTCCTAAACATCACAAACCAAATATTAGGACCTACTTTAAAAGTGAAAGAAATCCAGGCTCAATCCTTGTGTCTAAATTCAAAGGTTCCTAGAGAGTAACAGCAGACTCCCTAATGCCCTCCTCACAATAAAATGTCCAAGCACCTGGAACCCTGCCTGGGATCTCCGTTGAGATCCCTCCAGATTCTCAGAAGGTGACTCTCTTCTTTGCTGCTAGCACTTTCAGAATTCTAGAGCTGGCATCTCTGACAGGGTGTGCCCAGATCCCTAGTAGTCCAAAGGGCATCCCCACATTGCAAGCCAACTCTTCTTTAGTGCCCGTCTAGGCTGCTGCTTACCTGTAATGGTCCTTTGCTGTGTTACACTCTCTAGGCTTTAAGGCTTGAGGTCCTGGTGAACTGGTTGAAGAGCACAGAGGAAGAAATAGTTTGTCCTAAACAGCAGCTTTACAGGGAGCTTTCACCACACATCTGTGGTGGAGCCAAACTAGTGTCATCACATGAGAACATTGAGGCTGCAAAGCAGAGATACTGAAGTCTGAAAGAATACAGGGTCCTTGGAGAAATTTGAGAGGAGTTGGCAGAAAGTTGAAGTGGTTTGTGGCAATGACTAGGAAGCTGGCAGAAAGTACGAAGGTTGGAATTGGACCTACCACAACACCAAGTAAGAATCATGGGGTATACTGCCCATGTACTAAAGAGCCTGAGCTCAGGATCAAGCCCACATGAGCCATGGTTGTGGGTAGAATATTGTATTCCTTATGTGGGGACAAAAAGATGAAGGATTTCAGCTATAAACCATCACCAGGTTTGGGAGAGGAGTGATATTTCTGTGTTCAGAAAGACAGTAGTGGATGAGAGAGGAGGTAGGATCCAGGGACCAGCTAGAGGCTCTGAGGTCACACCTGTCTGCCCAGGTGCAGGAATAAGTGAGAGCAGCTAAGATTGTGTCAGAGGGACAGGGAGGGAGGTGAGTAGCTGCCCCAGACTACAGAAAAATAGGGCAGTGAGAGGTGACATCAGGAGAGAAAGATACCAACAGGCATTGGGGAGCTGGATGCACTGGGAAGGTAGTCCCAGGAGCATAGACTATAGAAGGGAAGAACTAGGCCTGGAAGGATGCATAGGGGCAAGTAAATGAGTTCACCGGGGTCTCCTTTGATGTACAAATAAGGTACAGATATGTCTTCCAATGGCCTTCCTAGAAGAGGTAGTTCATTCTACTTACAAAAAGCTACAGAAGCTGCAAAACTGAATTCCACAGCACAACATTTGGAAATGAACCTGGGGCTGTTTTTCATAAATTGGTAGCATTTCTCAAACAAACTAAGGCCAGTCATCAAGTCATTCTGCCAGCATGCTGACATCTTGATGAGACATCCTCATGCCTCTGAGACAAAAGCAAGACAGAAAATTCAGAGACAGGTGGTTGCAGTCCTTTGAAGCTTTGATCTAAAAAGATAAACATAAAAAGACACAGCAGTGCATGGAAATAAACACAATCTCAGGGATGGGAGCCAGCTGTTTTATTGTCCTACCTAACATCCTTATTGACAAAGCTGAGTTATCAGGACCAGATGTGGAGTAATCAAGTATTACAAAATGTGTAGAATTATGGTGTCCACAAGCCCAGAACCATGAAGCTTGTGTCAGGGATACAATCAGGAGCAATAGCCACCTTACTTCGTGTGCCCTGTGTGTTAGGCATAGTTGAACTGCTTATTATTTCTTTTTTATGGGTGAAGACATCATTCACAGAGAACTTAAATAACTTGCTCAAGGTCACTCAGCTAGGAAATGATGGAATACGCATGTAGATCCATATTGTCTGGCTCCTGAACTCCTTGTTTTTTAGTAACCACTATTACTTACTGCTCCAGCGCCCAGGTTTCTTGATTCTGGGATAGTTTCATAGAGCTAGAAAAAATTTTCAGTAAAACAGTTATGTGATTTAATCCTCTCTCCATGGGTAGTAATCCTATGATTTCCCAGCTCCAGTCCTCCATGTATTTCCTAAATTCCACCCTTCTGTGTGTCTAATCGCCAGTGTCAGAATCAAAGAAAGATGATCTGGACTGTGATAAGATTGACTCAGATAAGATTCCTGGGCCAGTAAGTGTCCGACAGGCTGGTTGACCTCAGCCATGCATCAAATGGATGAATGGGTTCCTTCCCACCTTCTCATTTCTTCTGGAAGAGCCATACAGAGACTCACCTTGCTGATGAGTGTGGGGTTCAGGGTGAGAGCAGATGCTTTTCCTGGGAATCAGAGGAAGAGGGGGATTGAATGAGCCCAGTGAGAGGGAGGGAAAGAAGTTGAGGGAAGTTGAATGAGGCTGCAGAGATGGAAATTGAAACTCCACAGTTTTAGCCAAGCATGCTGGCATAAACCTGAAATCTGTGGGAAGTTGAGGCAGGAGAGTTGCAAGTTTGAATCTACTCTGAGCAACTTAGTGAGATTCTGTCTCAAAATAAATAAAAATTAAAAAGGATTTAGGCTGTAGCTCAGTGTGAGGGGCCTGAGTTCAATCCCCAGTGCTGCAACAAAGGGACAGGGAGGGAGAGGAAGAGAGAGGATCAGACTTATCAGATAGCGTGGATCCTCAAGCTCTGCACCACTGTTGTGTGAGTCACAGTTACTGATGGGCGCACACCATGTTTCTCTGTTCTATGAGGACACGAACAACCAGACAGCTCTGCAGAAGCAACCACACCATGGCTAACTCTTGATCTTCAAAGATAGGTCTAGTTCAGGGAATAGGTGGAAATGGGAGGCTAGTTAGGAGCCTCTCAGGAGAAACACATCCATGCACTGGTGGAATAAGGAGAAACAGAGTTGAGGACAGAGGAAAACAGTGCTGAGGAATGGATGTTCCCTCTGAGCTCCAGGCCACTGCGGTGGCATCAGAAGAGGGTCAGTGGAAGTGTGTGATACGCTCTCTCACATGCCCGGTGCTCTGTCCACTGCTGGCCAAAGTCAGGGACCAGAACTCAGTAATCCCAGACACTCGAGAGAGGCCTATGACTACCTGGGCAGCAGAATGATGCTTCTTCTGAAACTTGGGGGAAGAGACCCAGCCAGGGAATGCACACCTGAGTCTGGATCTCTACACGAGGAAAAGTCGCACATTTGAGAGCCTGCCTTATGCTTGGGAAGAGTGGTGCCCCAGAGTGTGACAAACGGTGCCATCACACCAAAGCCTTATAGTATTCCTGCGTAGGACCTTAGCAGTCTGAGCCCAACATGGAGTGCCGACCTCTCACATGATGTGCTTATTTTAGGGCCAACTCTGTGACGTGGAATCCACACAAGATGATGGGCGTCCCATTGCAGTGCTCAGCTCTCCTGGTCAGAGAGGAGGTACGTCCTTCCCGACTCTGCCTTGGGCCAAGTTCGCTGTCTGTGTGTGACCTTCTCTCTAAATACTAAGGTCGCGGGCCTTCCCACTGCGGTTGCTCACGTTTCCCATAGAGGGCTCTTCTGTGCTCCTGCCAGAGGGAGGGTGGAGGGCACCAGAATGCTGGAGATCTCCACTTTCACAACAAAACTTTGGCTTTATCATCTCCATGTTTCCTTCTGTTCTACTCAGTGTCCCCTAATCAGGGACCCTCTGCGATCCTCTTAAAAATACTAAATTTCCAGTTTTCTACTGGAATATGACCAGAGACAGATTTTACCATGAGAAAAATATAGTTTTTACCTTAAGAGAAAATATGCCTGACACAGGATAAAGATTAGTGTTGGCATTCAGATGTGTAGATGTGCATGAGTCTATGTATTATATATCTCACAATTCTATTGCTTTTAATATTTAATACCACACTTAGAATATAAGGCATCCACATGTGTGCTAACCAGTAAGGAGGAAAACAAGCAGTGACCACCTTCATTCCAAGTGTTTTTGTGCATGAAGCCTAAAGTCATTCTCTGTGGATGCTCAGTGTGGGCCAGGGGCTCTCTGGCCACGATGCAGTCTGAGTCACGTCTCCACACTGCTCTGCTCATTTTGTTGATAAAACCCAAAATAAGGAGCTTTAGTTTAACCTGATTGTTAGAATTAATGAAGCAGCTGGACTCAAATGGGTTGTTAAAACACCTTTACGTGCTGCCTAAAAAATATTTCATTTTTTCCTAATTATAAAATTAGACATAATTATCTTAGAAAATTTGGGCAGTATAGACCATAATAAATAAATCTAAACTCACCCAAATTTCTGTCGTTTAGAGATTAAACATTATTTCTGTTTTAAAATATTTTCTGCCATACTTTTTCGAAAAATACATTTATATTTAAGCATGTTTTACCTATTTAAAAATTTATCATTTATGTCAGTGGTAGTGTGCCTGGCATGCATGTCATTTGTTTTTTCTTTTTGGAAAAAGATGTTGATTTGTGAGTTGTTTTTCTAAACTAAAACATAAGTATTCAGATTTAATCACAGCACTGGCACTTTGTGACAAATAAGTGGCATTTTGACCTCACAGAGCCAGGGGAACAACAGTACGAAGTTCTGTAACCCTAAAATAAAATAGAAGCACCTGGTGTAATTGCCACTTCCATGGCCTTTGAGTGAACATTCTTTTTCAAGTTCAGTACCTTTCCGCTGCTCTATTACAAAAACATTGCACTTAGCTTTTCTCAAAGATACCTTGATGGATCCTAAAGAATGTTAAGCCTAAACTATAAGATAGAGTCCATTCTGCTCTTCCCCTTTGGAGTGCTCCATCTTTCAAAATCTTGCTAAGCTTTTGTTTGCACTGCACTGTGCTTTAGTTTGGGTAATGTTTTAAAAATGCTCTTACTTTAACTTCAGTTAGCAAATCATTTTAGTCTTTTCTTCTCTCCTCATGAGTCACAAGAGGAACAGAAACTAAATGCCAAAGCTTTTATAAAACTACAATTACACAGTAGATAACAAAAGAGTCAAAGGCTTCCAGTAGTTCGTGACAAATTGGAACATGGGGAGGCTTGGTGAGCAGACCGGGGGTGCTATGTCAGTCAAAAAGTATGATTCATTCCCATCCTTTGGAACAGGTCAATCACTTTGCCACCCATTTCCATAGTGAGGTTACAGTACCCTGTCAAATTTTTGGTCACTGACAAGGAGACTTTCCTTTGCAGCTTCCATAAGTAACTGAGTATGAAAGTGCAGTGCAAGAGCCTAACTGCTGAGGGAAGAACTTAAAAAAGTGGAAAGGCTTACTTAAATTTCTCTTAGATAATAGGAAGCAGGGTGATAGATCTTTTCCCAGTGGAAAGAGAACCAAAAGATTGAAGGAGTGGAGAGAAGAAAAGGGAACGTGAAGAAGGACTGAGATGTACTGGGGACAGGCACCAGCTCCCCACGATGGATGTCATCACTCTGTACTGCAAACGTGGACTAACAAAACCAAAACAGCTGTGCCTTTGATTTTTTTTTTCATCTCAGCATATAAAAATGACAGCAGTTAGCTATTTGGAAAGCTATGGTTTTCAGAGATGGCTTCAACTCTAGTATCTGTATGATGAAATTTTTGTACTAGATATGGGTGGAAACACCAGATGAGCCATACTGGTAGTGCTTTTTAGAACTAGAGAGCTTCTGAAATATTATCAACAAAATCATAGCATTGGGATGTTCTCCTAAGGCATATCATACTCCATGATTTTTATTTATTCTTATTTCTTTTATTTATTTATTTATTTATTTATTTATTTATTTAGTGGAACCAGGGATTGAACTCAGGCCCTTGTGCTTGTCAGGGAAGCGCTTTATTCCACTGAGCCATCTCCCTGGCCCCTATTCTTATTTCTATAAATGCCTTTTCTTAAAAGGAAGCATAAAAGTACAAGTACGTCCTGTTAGCCTCTGATAACTTTCAATTCTGAGCTAGCCAGTCACAGGGTTAACCCACTGTAGCAACCTGGACAATGTGTTTAGACACTGGCCCCATCTTTTCTTCAAATTTGATTCTTACTGATTTCTTTTTCTAAAATATACAGTGTCTCTTTTTTTTTCCTTTATAACTCAACACAGTGAAAAGCTAATGGACAGCTCATAGAGCTTCCTACCATTTCCCTTTTCTCTTTTAGGGATTAATGCAAAGCTGCAACCAGATGCATGCCTCCTACCTCTTCCAGCAAGACAAGCACTACGACCTGTCCTATGACACTGGTGACAAGGCCCTGCAGTGTGGACGCCACGTGGATGTTTTTAAATTATGGCTCATGTGGAGGGCAAAGGTGGGTGTGTGCCAACTGAAAGGAAGCTACTAAAATAAAAAAATAAATAAAAGGAAGCTACTTTCTGATGATGTTAAAATAACTGAGTGCTAAATTGAAAATGATTCAAGTTCAATTTCTTGAATCCTATGTCTACAAACTTGTATTCTACATAAGCATATAATCAAACTTTTTGTAAGCCTAGTGACTTCTAATGTCCACATCTAGAAAATAAATCTATTTTGCTATATATGGTAGATTACCTAGATTTTGAAGAGGTATCTTATTGTCATTATTGTTGTTTGGTTTATTTCATCCTGAAAGGTATGTGTAAAGAACAGAAAAATGCAAAAATGATAATTTATTATTGATGTTTTAAAAGATAACTTTTAATGAGAGAGGTATTTTTAAAACTTCAGAAATAGAACCGGGGAGATAGCTCAGTAAGAATAAGTGCTTGCCTGGCAAGCGCAAGGGCCTGAGTTCAGTACCTGTTTCTGCAAAAAAGAAAAACTTCAGAAATACCCAACTACTGCCTTTTGGATGAGTTCTGTTGATCCCAGAATTTACTTGTAGGTGGTTTCACCTTTGCTCAGAAAGTAAACTCTGTAGTGATACACAGCACCAGCTGGGTCTCACTCCAGTCTTCCAACAGGATGTATTCATCTTAAATGTAAGCAGGCAGCAACAGTAAATGATTTAATTTTTAATTTTGACTGGATTCCCACCTTACAGGCCTAGTGCCTTCACTTCTCTCCAGGCAGTGGCCAGAGCCACCAGTATGTGCTATAGAAACCCAGGGGCAAAAATGGTGCTCCAGAGAAACCTGCCAAGGAAACTGATGCAGGGAGAGATGGACAGGAGACTGGTGCGCTCTTGGGTGTGTGCATGCAGTGGAAGCCACACATTTAGCTATATGCTTAGGCAGGAGCCTGCACAAAGAGAAAACAGGGTTCAATCAGTAGAAAGCAGTGGGGAACTTGGTCGGTAGGAGTGCAGCATATCAACGTGAGATCAGGGAGTGGCTTCTTCCTGGATTCTGTGTAGAGGTAGGTACCATGCACACATTGGGAAGTTCTACATACTGTGTGTGTGTGTGTGTGTGTGTGTGCGCGCGCGCGCGCACGCGCGCGCGCACGCAAATGTGTGCACATGCATAATTTCTCCAAGAAAACAGAATTGCATTAGGTTTAGATAAGGTAGAGTGACTATAAGAAAAAAAGGATGTAAAGAGAAGTCCATTAGTATTTTAGAGAATCTACTTTCTTTATTTCTTTATTCTGTATTTTTTTTCTTTATTTCTGTATTTTGGGGAAGAGTCTACAGGGTGTTCAGGGTCTCACTACTAGATTGGACTCATAGTGATCTGCCTGTTTACAGTCTCCCAAAAGCTGGGATTACAGGTGCACACCACCACGCCCAGTCTCAATTGCCATCTCAGCCTGCTCAGGGGTGGGGCTGCATGGCAGGCCCAGGGATCGAATCCCCAGCCCCTATGCCTGCTTGTAGGCACTTTAATCTACTGAGCTATTTGGCTGGCCCAGAACTTTAAATCTATTCTGAAAAAAAAAAAAAAGTTTGAATAAAAGATCATCTTTCTTCATGCAGAAATGACTCTTAGATGGTATTCAGGGATGACCAGATTAGGTAGCTTCCAGCCAACCATCTATAATAGTGCTTACTCCAACCAAAGCTTTTTCAAGTGTTGCTAAGGTCAGGCAGCTACATGAAATGAGACATTTCAGTGACAAAGTGGCAAGCACAAGTATGTCAGGTTCCCATCCCTGTAGCTGGTCAGAGGTTTCATTCCTTTTTCCAAAGCTGAGGACCTGACAGAGACATGTACGTGATCCCCAACCCCAACACTCATATGAGACTTATTCTGTTGGGCATGACATCCTCACTTAGAAAAAAGTCCAAGCTATAAATTGCTGGACTTTATTCCCAATCTGTTTTAAAATGAGCAAGTTGTATTCAATTGATTGGTGGCAATTACGAAGTTACAGACATTAAGTACCAGACAGTAAGTTGAGGAAAGCTTGACCTCTACATTATGTATGAGAGCTTTTTACTTCAAGGATCATTATTTTTGTGTCTTTCCTGTGGTGTTTTTTTATTAAGATGATGATCATTAGCTATATTTACACAAAAATGTTTCTCATGGTTCATTAGTCCCTGCTGTTCCTTTTCCATCTGAGCTTCCTCTTCAGCATGGGGCTGCCTGTTGGTTCTTAGAAAATTTACTTGGTGAACATCAGGTGCAAATCAAAGAGCAGGATCAGGCAAAGAGCAAAATAAAGGCAAAGGAACTATTTTTAAATTGTTGAAGTAAAGTTACTTAAAGTGGAGGGTGCAAAAAGAAAAAAGAAAAATCACAAGTGTTACGCTCCTGTGAGCACACATTCTTTTTAATTTCTTATGCAAAACTTCAATCACCTGGACATCTAAAAGGCAAACTTTTCCTTTTGGTTTTTCACCTAAAGCTGTGTTTGTCTACAGAATGGAAAGATAGCTATTAAATCAAGAAGCTCAGTCCTGCAGTGTAGGACAAAGGTAAAGACAATCATCCTATCAAAAGTTCTGTAATCAGAACAACCATGGAAGAAGAGCCATGGGAGTGTTGGCTGTCTTCCATCACCACAGGAATAAGGAAATTCAACTGAAACAGAATACTGAAGAAGAGAGACAATAGAGCACTAATCCAGATGTGCACAGGGAATGCAATGACCTAGTTAATCTGCGTTTCCTCCTTATGAAGATAAACCACGTGGAGAATAGAAACTCCCGTATAAACTGTCATTCTTCAAACTAAGCTGTTACTAGCAAATGAAGCTGATAGCCTAAAGGGTGCCAGCAAGTCCAAGATAATTTGATGCAAGAGGCTGTGTGATGCTAACAGTAAATGTAAGCCTATTCTTCCTACAAAAGTCTTCATTTGGTCACATGTCACTACAAAATTCAAGGTATGGATGTCTATTTTCCATGTTGACACATTTTCTCAGTGGTTAGAACTCAGCAGCAGACAAAATAAATAAATAAGCCTTAAAATCATTGCCCCAAGTTGTAGGTCTGCAGCAAGAGATCAAAATGTCACAGTAAATCTTCATGCTGGTATGTGGTTACACAAATTGACAAGATTTTTTTGTGATTTCCTAAGACTGGCCTCTCTAATTGGAAAAATTGGTAACAAAGAGACTGGCAAATGGTTAAGGATAAGAAAAAAACAGAAAAAAGTATTAAGGAAAACCAGGCTTCTTTTTGCTGTGTTACCATTCACGCACGTTCTCTAGAATATTAATTAATTTTAATCAGTAGCTATTGTGTATCTGACGCTGAATGAAATGTGATAAGAACCCTACAGTTTTCTGGGCAGATAAAATAAATACAGAAATCCCTGGTGTATAAGATAGAATATAACTGGCCATGAAAGAAGCACAGACACAGAATGAAGAATGAGAGAGCTCATTCGTAGTTTGAAAATGAAGTAAGTTTTATGAAAAGATGACGTTTGACATCGGCCTTAAACAAGACAGTAAATAAGATTTCAAGACATAGGGCTAGGAAGAGGACATTCTGGAAATAAGGTCATGCAGGAGCTCAGGGGCATTGCCTGAGCGGAGCAGAGACTCTAAGCTGACTGAGGAATGATGAGGAAACTTCAGTCCGAACAAAGAGAGTGCCGGTGAAGGGTGGCAGCAATAGAAATGGAGATAGCAGCAGAGTATCCAGAGAAGCACTGTACGACACAGGCCTACGTCTGTAGGAGAAATAGGAGCCAGAGTCCGTTGTCAGTGGAGCCCAGCTGCCAGGTCAGGCCAAACCAACTCCGGTTTTCTTAGTACCCAGAAGCTCATGGAGTATGTAGACTAACTGCTGGCCTGGGTTTTCAGGCATCAGCCCCAGCCCTTTCCACGAGTCATCAGCCTCCTCAAGTCAATCGACCGATGATAGTAATCATCAACAAAAATAGATTTCTGAACCCATTCCAGTTCTTTGGTACAGGTTAAATATGCTTCAGACATTACAAGTCACTGGCCCGTGCTGGGCCTCCTTTGGGTGAGGCGAGAGAACACATGTAAACAGAAGTGGCCCAGCCTAGCTGCATCACAATTGCTCCCTCTTGCTCAGTGTTGGATTGGTTACTGCTAGGCAACTTTTAAGCGCTCCCAGGATGAGCATTAGGTCTTCTCCTAAATTTTCCATTAGTATTCTGTAAATGTTGAAGGAGATTGGGGGGAAGCCATTTTGAAGAGTGATTCCCTAGCGTGTCCTGACATTAGTTACACAGCTCTAGCCTGAGGATGTTGTGTTGTTTGTCCTAAATATATTTCTAGAGCTTCCAAAGCTGGAAACTAAAAGACCTCTGTGTCAGTATTCACCCCTCACAGACATGAGTCACTTTCCCATCACCTAAGAATAGGCTAAAGAGCCTGGCAGGATGACAGGCTAACGGAACACTCACGAGCTGCTTACGAGTCACTCATTTGTTCAGCTAAAACTCAGGTTTGCTTTCTGCATTTTTCTATTGTGAGGTGCATCAGTGGACAAAGATGGGGTCTGGGGATGGAAAATTTTGTGATGCGCAGGGGCCAAACAGACATCCTGGGGCATTTGTGAGGACACTTCTTGATGGCAAAAAGAGATTCACCCAACCCTCCTGTCATTAATGACCCCCATGATTGCTTCCATGAAGTGTGGTGGCAAATTTTCCCCTTGAGTAATCAAAATGATGACCTTGAAAATGGAGGCTGAGGAAGAAGAGAAGTCAGCTGTGGATAGCAGTAATAACAGGGAACGGAAGCACCTGAGGGGAAGAGCATTAAAGGCGAAATAATCGTTAGCAAAGCTTCTGAAAACAGTCTTGGGAAAGGATAGGGCCAGGACAGCCTAAGAGAAAAGTGGCCCAGGACTGTCCTTCTCCGGGAGGCTCACTTCATCTGGCAGCTCTGGCATACCCACACTGCCAGGCTGCCCCTGAGCTTTGTTCTTCTCTCCCATAGGGCACTACTGGCTTCGAAGCACATATTGATAAGTGTCTGGAGCTGGCAGAGTATTTATACAATATCATAAAGAACCGAGAAGGCTACGAAATGATTTTTGATGGGAAGGTATGTATTCAGATTTCAACCATCCTCAAAAGTTTAGTAAATTCCAGTCCTTATCACTGCTGTTTTCTGGTGTAAATGAGAAGCTGTCCAGCTCAGTGGGAAGCAGTTGATGATGGGGTAGCACTGCTGAACTCAAACAGAAATCAAATCCATGTATAAGTCTCTGTAATGAGAAAGCAAGGCACTCGAAAGGAAACTGGCAATTGAAAAACACAAATTGTACTCTGAATCTGAACAACCATTGTTTTCTGTTTTTGTTTTGAAATTCTGTACCATTTTTATGCTTTATTTTTGTCTTTGTTCTTGTTTTTGCTTTTGTTTTCTCTTTAAAATAAAATTAAAAAAGAAATCTATCAGAAGCTGTAAATGCATAAATATGTTTTAAATGTCCTTGGGATTTTCAGTCTCAGCAGCTTGAATTGATTTTGCATCTCACTCTGCTCTTTGTAGCCTCAGCACACAAATGTCTGTTTCTGGTATGTGCCTCCCAGTTTGCGTACTCTGGAAGACAATGAGGAGAGAATGAGTCGCCTCTCAAAGGTATGTGTGTGTTGGGTCTTTCATATGTGCATCCTTCTAATGATACATGCGTGTCTGTATGAGAAATCCCACATTGGAGTTAGCCTGCAGCTCCTGGTGCACACCAGCAGAGCCAGCACATACAAATCAGTACAGCTACCTACTCTATTTCTTTGCCTTTGCAGAAACTTTTGGGTGCCTTAAAATGAGTAATTAGGCAATGACCTTTTCTGGTGTTCAAAAAGCAGCAAGAAATTTCGCTGTGAGTTGACCAGTTTTCCAAACAAAACTGATGCTTAGTTTTGGTACAAGCACAAAAGAGACCCTGGGTGTTAGAAATCATTAGAGAACAAAACTGCTGCTGACCCTCTGGAGATGCAATCAGAAAGCTTCTGTGGGTTCTTAACGTATAATCTCCAGGACCCCACTGAATCTTCCCACACAAACATGCTTCCAGACTGGAAAGAGGTAAGCTATAGCGGTCTATACTGTCCAATAAGATAATAAATGCTACGTGTGACTATTTACATTTAAATTTAAATTAATTAGAATTAAATTCAACCAAAATTTCAATACTCAGTCACGCTCATCACATTTCAAGAATCCAGCTGTGACTGGTGACTATAGAATGGCTAGAACAGACAAAAATCTCTCTACCACCCTCTAGTTCTCTTCGTGCGGATAGAGATCCAGAGCAAGAGGTGATATGAAAGCTTCTGTGTGGTATGTGGGAAACAAAACAACACAGTTAAATTCTGGGCAAGACTAGGAATTCCTCTCTGCACCCACATGCCTTGGAATGGGATTTAGGATACATTAAGCATTCAAAAATCACTTCTGGGGCCGGCCGGATAGTGCAGCAGATTAAAGCTACTGCTTAGGCAGATGCAGGGGCCAGGGTTTGACCTCCTGCATGCTGTGCTGGCCCTGCCCCTGGGGCACACTGAGACAAGGATTGAGACTGGGTGTAGTGGCATGTACCTGTAATCCCAGTGCTTGGGAGGCTAAAAACAGGAAGATCATTGCACATCTGATCTGTGTAGTGAGACCCTGTAGTAAATAAAAAAAAAAAATAAATAAATAAATACACTTATGGATCTGTCATGGTCACTTGTGGAGCTGTTACTGTCATTGTCTTTTCAGGCTACTGTGACAAACTACTGAAGATCAAGTGGGTTATTCAGCATGGTTCTGGGGTCTGAAAAGTCCAAGATCAACATGCTGACAGACTCCGTGTCTGCTAACATTGGTAGCCGGACATTGTACTTTATATCTTCATGTAGCGGAAATAGGGCAAAGGAGCTCTCTGGGGTCTGGTTTATAAGACAGTAATAACATTTAGAATGCAAAGCTTTCCAAAGATCCTCACCTTACAACACCATCATATTGAGAATTTGAGTTTGAGGAGACACAAATATGCAGTCTACAGTGAGTGTTTTTGCATACTCTACATTAAGGAAGAGAAACAGTATCTAGGAAACCTAGTGGTAAGCCTTTTACCAGCACACATTGGCTTGAAATTGCACATGCAGATAAGAGAAGTGGTTATTTCTAAATCAAACAGTGACATCTTCAGGAGTAGATAAAGATGACCATCTGGTGGGTGAGTTTCCTACTGCCCAGGCAGAGCTCTGAGTATGCAGTTAGTACATTGTCACTTGGGCAGAATAGATGAAAAATGCCTCAGGTCCTGTTGGGACAAGACTATACCATGTACTGTTGACACAGGGAAGACACCTTAGACACATATCTACATCAGTAGACACCTGAGACAGACACAGAGAAGGGCATCAGTAGGTCTAGGCAAGCACTTATCAAAAAGAGTCAAAAGGCTTACGTTTTGGTCGCCTCTTGTGTTTCTTGTTCTTCTCTTCAGCCTCCTCCTCTTTTGGGTGGTTGGTTAGTTTTGGTTTTGTTGTTTTTTAACCCTGGGGTTGAACCCCAGCAGTTCACCAGTAGTAGGCAAGCTCTGTACCACTGAACCACACTCCCAGCCCCATTCTTATTTTAATTTTAACTATTCTTGATCAATGTCCACATTTCTTCTTGCTACTTTCATCATCCCATAGAGATTGACAACTTTCAAAAGATTAATATTGGATTTAATAGTAAATTGGTAAGTGGACTCTTTTAGTCTACTGAGTTAATGGAGAATTTACTTAGTAAGACTTTAACATTTCAGAATGTCTTTTTTATGCCTATTTTACTTTCTCATTTTTAAAACACTTCTCAGATTTCAGAGATTTAGAAACAAAAAGGCTGTCTAACACAATGGAAAATAAATTTCTATGATAGCTTCTAAGATTATTTCATAAGGACTACAAGCCTCCTTATGAGAAAACAAATAGAGATTTAAATTTAGGAATAGTCCCTTGGTTATTGTTTCCTAAGAGATTGAAAAGAAAATGGCACAGGGGACAAAATAATATCCTAAATAAATGTTTTAAAGGCACTCCCAAAGATCTCATATTGATTAGATCTTTAGTGGTTTCTTCAACATACAACCCCTTTCTTGCCCAAGTGGCTTTCTTTATTCAGAAAATGAAGAAATTGAGCCCCAAAAATCTAGAAACAGAAGAAAACGTTGTATCTCTTATCAGAATATGCAAAAATCTTATTTTCCTTTTAAACTTGCCATTAGTGAATAATAATAAAATATATACTCCATTGTCCAGCCAATTTTAGTCTGGCAGCAACCAAAAGTCATATGTATTTAAACAGCTGCAATTTCTTCCAACTCAGCTTGCTTCAGGAATGAGGGGATTTAATCTCACTTCATGTCAAAATCTGTTAGGGATGCATCTGGTAAGCTTAATCTATTGACTTTTGATTTGCATCCATCTGAAAAGTTAGAGATGGCTGTCCTTAATAACTAGTGCCACTCATATGTGTTTTGTTTGACTTGCCCTGAGAATGAAATCAGACTTCAAGTCACTTAAGTAAAACATTATCATTGTTTTATCAATAAAAAGATCAAGAATGACTTATGCAAATAAAACTAAGGAAAAATTTTATGAGGGCTGGGGAGATAGCTCAGTAGAATAAGGGCTTGCCTGGCAAGCACAAGGTCCTCAGTTCAATCCCCGGCATAGCCAAAAAAAAAAAAAAAAGAAAGAAAGAAAAAAAAAAAAAAAAAAAGAAAAGTTATATGATTTTTGCCTTAAACTTCCCTAGCTCTGTGGATTTCAATCTTTTTTTCTAATTTGGGACTTTTTTATGCCCAAAAACACACTGACTTGCCATGACTTGCAGCACAAAGTGATAAATTCCATGTCCTTTGGCTAGGATATTCTAGTTCATCTTTTTCAGAACTTAGTCCAAACTCAAGATACTTGATTTTCTTTTAAGATTTATTCCCTGTGGAGCTGGAGAGATAGCATGGGAGTCTAGGCACCTGCCTGGAAAGAACAAAGATCTGAGTTCGATCCTCAGTATTGCATGTTGTGCCAGCTCTAGAACTTCAGGTGCACCATGACAGCCCCAAAACTGGGCATGATGGCACACACATGTAATCCCAGTGCTGGGGAGGCTGAGACAGGAGGATCACTATGAGTATGAACTGCATGGCAAGACCTTGTATCAAATAAAGGAAGGAAAGAGGGAAGGAAGGGAGAAAGGGAGGAAGAGAAGGAGGAAGAGAAGGAGGGAGGGAGGGAAGAAGGAAGAAAGGAAGATTTATTCCTTCCCTGGAGTGGATCCAGCATCCTACATACATCCTCAGTTCTTTAAGTGAAAGAAGAATCCACCCAACAGAAACATTCCTCTTTATACCGTCTCCCTGTGGAATAAGGAAGAGGCAGGAAGGAACACAAAGCCTGTTGATGTAGAATGAGATCATCTCAGCACTGGAATCATCATCCACCTTCAGTTTTAGATGAGGACACTGTCTTCAGAATATGAAGTGGAGGTGAAGTGTGTTGGCTTTGTCTTTGACTAGACCTCATTTGGACCTTACCTATGTTGTGCTCAGAGTACTTTGATGATTAAAATCTCATTGTACAGTAATAGTTACTTAATACTAATATTAATATTCAAAAGTGTCTTAGTTTCTGTTCTCTGGTTGTTGGGACAAATACCTAACACCCAAAATGAAGGAAGGAAAGATTTATTTAGCTCACAGTTACTGGAGGTTTTAGTCCATACTTGGCTGGCTCCAAGGCAGAGCGGCACATGGTAGAGGACAGCCATTCATGCCAGTGGCAAAGAGTAGAGAGCAGAGGGAGGAGGAGCAGCAGCAGTGGCAACAGAGAGCAAGTCTGTCTCTCTTAAGTTGCATTCAGGCTACATGCCCCAGGCTGGGCATACCTTGATCATGAATTAATTCTCAAACTCCAGAAGTCCCCACTCCATGACCACATGAGGCTTTGGGGAGACAACTAGACACAAACCATAACAAAAGTCACATGTGTTCATAACACTGCCCTTCATTTCAACCTAATTGTCCTTCACTTAAGCTGAGTCCAACTGTAATGTAAGGCATGAACCCCATCTTTAACTAACTTGCTGACCATGTACACCTCAAATAAGCCTAAAGTTTCTCTAAACTCTGTTGTTCCTTGTTGTATCTATGCAGCAGTGAACTTGAAAGGTCAGATGGTGACGAGACACTCTAGCACCTGTTTATAACACTGGCTGCTGGGGTATTCAGTGTGGTGCTGGGTGGAGGAGGATCACGAGTGTGAGACCTGCCAGGGCAACTTAGCAAAACCCTGTTTCAAAATTTGGAAACAATTTATGAAGGGCTGAGCATGCAGCTCAGTGGTGGTGTTCTTGCCTAGCACACATAGGGCCCTGAGGTTAACCTCTAGCACTGGGGGGAAAAAGTCATGCATTATGTGTACAAACACCAATGGTAAATATATGCGGACAGATCATGTATTGAGTTGCAAACAACTTGAATATATGCCACTTCCTAGTTAGCTATCAGTATTATTTTACTCTTTATAATAAATTAGAACTAAGAAAGCCCTCCACACATACCTAGCACTGTGTTAGGAAGTGTAAGCAGTAAAAGGAACCAAATATGCCCTCTGGGACCTTACAGTTAAGATAGAGAGAGAATATATTTACCCATTAGTAAGAGGCCTATAAGAAATTCATATATAATCAGAATCTATGGGTAATGCTCATATAGTTAAAACTTAGAAAAAAAGCCAATGATTTGGAAAAAGCTCTACAGCAGCTGAGGTGTAGATGATGTGAACTGGAGGAGAAAGGGATTCTAAGTGAAGAAAACAAATGTGGCATCGTTAAGAGAAAGGGATGAAAGAGTAAGGGATGAAAATATGAACAGTACAGTGTATTGAGGGATATTTAATAAATCATTCTTGTCAGAGCTGAAGATTGGTGTTGGTGAGCAGTGAAAATGGGGTCTAAGAACTGGATGACAGAAGCCTTTTGGCCAAGCTGAAGATCTTGAACTTAATTTCGTCCATCAGGATAACTACGAAGGTTGTCATGAGCAGTCTGGCATAAGTGAGAAGTCTTGTCTTTTGTGCACTTCTGTATGCAGAGTCCTAGGAGTTCAGACTTTTATTCCAGACAACTCTTCATCTTACTAAGTAGGATCTTTCAAAATAGAAACAGAGACCATGCAAAAAGAGAATAAAAAGAAACTAGAAAAGTATAGGTCTCAACAAAGTTACCAGAAGTCTGTCATCTTCATCACTTGATACTGAAGCTTACTTGGCAACACATCTAAGAAACATGCTTCATTTCCCATAATTTTATACTTTCTAGAAGGAAAACTCCAATAGTTTAATACTAAATCATTTAGCCTTGGTGGGGCAGGGAAATAGCTCAATAATACAAACACGTGCCAGGCAAGTGCAAGGTCATGAGTTCAATTCCAAGTACCAAAAAAAAAAAAAAAAAAAAAAAAAAAAAAAAAATCAAACTCATTTAGCATTGGGAGCAGTACGAGACTCTTATTTTCCCAAAGCACTAACTAGAAAATCAATGTTCATAAATCAATAGTAAGTCTAGCAGTTTACTATTACTTTTCACATCATGTGTCTGCTCTTGAATATTTTGAACCATTCTGGTCCTTTGATCCTATGAAAACTTGAAGGCACGTCCTTCAAGGGAAAACAAATGGTTCAGTTTTTGGTTAAAAAGTGAAAATTCTGCTTGCTGTTGTGAGGTTCCTTGACTAGGAGAGAGTCCCCAGGAGAAACAGTCAGCACTGATAAGGTCTCTCCTACAGGTCGCACCAGTGATTAAAGCCCGAATGATGGAGTATGGGACCACAATGGTCAGCTACCAACCCCTGGGAGACAAGGTCAATTTCTTCCGCATGGTCATCTCAAATCCCGCAGCAACTCACCAAGACATTGACTTCCTGATTGAAGAAATAGAGCGCCTTGGACAAGATTTATAATAACCTAACTCACCAAGCTGTTTCAGTTCTCTAGGTAGACAATTACATTGTCACGAACTGTGTACATGTATTTGTAGTTTGTTCCAAAGTAAACCTATTTCTACATTGTGGTGTCAGAGTAGAGTACTATTTAAAAATTTAAAGAAAAAAAACCCCGCTCCTTTAAAAATTCCTTTCTTAGGTTTAGAATACCTCTCTTAATTAGTGACAACAGGCTGTGTTCTAATCAATAAGGAAAAGCTTAAAGTTGTTATAAATATTTCCCTTGCTTTTAATATAGTGTGCAAAGCAAACTTTATTTTCTCTTCAGAGTAGTAAGATTGAATAGTGCCAAATTACCCCTGAATCATAAAAGGTTCTTTGGGGTACAGTGAAAAGCAGAAAGTAAATATAAAATGTATATTGACATAAAAACTCTTGCCTTTTTCATAGTATTAGAAGAAATTTCTAATTTACCTATAGTAACATTTCAAATGTATTTAAATACATATAATTTTACAAAAGGAAATATATATATATTAAAAAGAAATCCTATTTTGTAACATATAGATTTTTATTTTATATGGGTTATACAAACTGCAGGGGCAGATATAAAACCTAAGCCAGACTTTTTTCTTTCTTTTAACGGAGGCACAATAACACTTAGCAATGTTATTTTAACTCATAGGCCCACAAAATTCCTTTTTTTTTCCCCACAAAATTCTTAAAAGGTAGAACTCCTTTCAGTACGCATGATGGCTTAATCATATCTCTAAAGTTGTTTCAAAATAAAGAAAAGTATATTGCAGGTTGGTAAAAATAATCGATCAGATCAACAATTAAGATACTCTTTCTGTTTAAAAATTTCTAGCTAGTTTTCCTTAGCAGGCCCACCCTGGGAGCATAATGAGCCAGGCTTCACCTCAGATTAGATTAGGGAGAGCGTTTCTATTCTGCTATCCAGTTTGATGTGTTTGAAACAAAAGTTTGATGCTGATTTTTAAGGCATTTCCCCAAGCAGTACTCTTTTATTAGGTCATTTGAATTAATTAGAGAAAATAAAGATAAAACCTAGTCAGCCTGAGCAAAGAAGAATGAACCACATTCACAGAACATGATGAGACCAGAATGTTAAACTCAACTTTGTGAGATGAGATCTCTGCGTGACAATAGTGACATCATCCTGGGTACCACATTGCCACTGTCCAGAAAGGAGTCATTTGCTTCCCAGATGATTGCCAATTTCCCTTTCCCTCCCATTTCTTCACACAAAAGTCTCTCCTGCCAGACTCTCTACCACTGGGATGCCAAGTAATTAATTAATATCCTCCTGGGTAGTTAGCTTCATGAATTGAGCTCTTCACTCTGGATTTTTGAGGCATCCTAAGACTTTCGTTTATCTATCTCCCACCAAGACTCAAAGCAGCCAGAATATGCAACAATGTTTAGAATTCAAAATACTATTTTAAAATAATCTTTCTTTTGCTGCAACCCTGATGGAAAGGCAGGAACTAACAGAAGTCATTGTAGATATTATTTATGGGGATACAAAGAGTCAGACTAAATGCTGACAAGAGAGCAGCAGTCTTTTATATGCAGACTACAGACATGTATTTAGGAGCACTGTACCTTTTTATGTAGCTAGGACAGTTCAGTGGTCTACAGGTACAGAAGAAAGAATACCTTGTCCTTCAGCAGATAAAAATTCCCCGTAATATAATCACAGGTTGCAACCATCTGAAATCATGAGTTTACTGCTATCTTATTTCTCTCAAGTTATACACAAAAATGCTAATACATGATCTGAATATGGCTTTGGGGTCTCTTTGTCTAGGAAGTAAATGGGTTCCCTTTGCCAACTGGTAAAGAATCTGTGCTGCAGAATTTCATGAAGGAGCAGCCCCCCACTTTAGGTTTTCTCTAACACAGAAATATCCTTTTCCTTCCTAGAAGTGGCTGCAGAGACTAAAGCAAATACATGCACTTCCATCTCAAGCCTCTGACTCCCAGGTCTCATTTCAGAACACAGACAGGAATTTACCAAACCATGGTTTCACTAGGAGAAGATAGGAGGCCTGGTGCCTCGATGGACTAGATCCTTTCTTCCCCAGGCCCTTGAGGAACCAATCTTACAGCAGAAGCTGCTTCTCAGCTTGGAGAGATAACAGAATTTAGAAGTCATGCCTGACTTTGAAATCTAGCAAAATAGTTTTTACCAACAGATTTCTTCTCCTATTTTCAGGCCCCTCCAGGTTATTTCACAGTTTTCTGGGAATCTAGTAAAATCCTCACCAACCATAGCTCTAAAAAAGAGGCAAACAGAGCCTAATAGTTCTCAGTAGTTTAATAAATACTCTTTAAGGTAGATCTGCAATCTACTCTAGAGAGGGAGGGAGGGGAGAAAAGAAAAAGGAACCAAAGAAGGAAAAGAGAGAGGGAGATGGTTTTCAACATTAGCCCAAATTTTCAGTGCCAGAAGTCTTTCTGTGAGACTATATTTTACAAATTTTAGAAATGTTTGGTTTTTAGCTTTAATCAGAATTAACATGGCCATTTTCATTTATACAGCAATATTGTGTTTATTATTTATAATACTTGAACAAAGTACAAGTGTGTCTTTATCTGAGAATCATAAATGATATATATTTCATGTACTGTCATATGATGTGAGGAAAGCTAAGGAAACCAATTATGTGTGTGACTGTGTTGCCTTTATTATATTGATAGTACTGTCTTGTCACCTCAAATTGGGGTTGTGCACTTTATATCTGAACTGTACAGTGTTGCAATGACATGCGTTGCTGCAACCGCTTATACAATCTAGTATTGGTTTGTCTTCTGTGTGGTAGCTGTGTTGAACTTTGATATGAGAACTCCATTTGCACCTCCCCCTCCCCCAACATGATGTGATGCCCCCCACAGCAGCTCTGATAGTGAACACGCTCTCAGCTAAGCCCCCTCTTGAGCAATTTGCCTTTGAGAATTGTGTGATTTCACAAAGTGCAAGGTGACTACTACTTTGTTTCTAAGAACAGAAGAAACCAAGGGTGGAGAGTCACAAACTGCCAACATTGCAGGTGTTGGCTCTGCTGGGCCCTCGAGTAGCCGCCACTCCTTAGAATATGGAAAATGAAAGCACAGGTGTAAATATAGTAGCAGGACATGTACCAAGGAACCTCACACTGGGTGTCATCGTGCATGTGCTCTTCCGTTTTCAAGTGATAAGTGCAAACACCGTGTAATTATTAGTTATGTGTGCCAAATACTGTTCCCAACTGGTCTTTCTGAGCAACATCATCATTCTGCCAGCATCACTCCATCACTAAAGGCAGAAAACTTTACAAAGAAAATATTCACATATTCATCACTCTGTTCTTACCAAATATAAACTTGTGTATGATTGAAGTATTTTATCTGTGTTGTCTCCCTAAACCCAAATAAATGTGTAAATGTGGACATAGCTTGTGCTGTCAATGCTTATTTCTGAGTCTGCCATGTGACAGAGAGCATTTTCAAAGAACTGTCTGAATTAAAGGCCCTTCCCTTGTCACAGCTTTGCATGTCTCTGGATCTTACTTCTGCAGAAGTCCTCTTCTGGTAGAGTGTATTGTATCACTCTGCCTTCTCCTTCAATCTGATCCAATCTTTATGAAAAGAATATTATGGAAAATTCCAAATACATAAAAAGTGGTGAAAAATTATAATAAATCATGTTTTCTCCCAGCTTCAACACTTCCTCATGTAGAGCCTAAATTCTCTTTCACCCATTCATCCACCCATTTCCTTCCCAACACCATGTTGTCTTTATATGAACCTATGAAAGATAAAGACTCTTAACACTTATTCTGAATACCAGCACCACAAAGAAAACTATACTAGTAATGTTATAACAATATCAAATATCCAGTTGGTGGTCTCATTTCCTTCATTCTCAATCTTACAGTATAGGCCATGGTCCATGGCCTGTGCCTGGGAATCCCAGGGAGACCATATGTTTCAGAACAACAGGACATCTATGCCATGCACACATGGACTATGCATGTGTTGGCATGATTCTTCATCGTGGTGAGTCTGTGACTCCAGGCTTGTGGGCTGCACTTTTTGGAGGCCTTATGTTTGAAGGTTTTTTTCCTCAGCTGCTAAAAGTAGGGCTAAGAGGTATGGCCCACTGCAAAATACCAAAGCATACAAATTTAGCAGGTTAACATATAAATACATAGAGAAAGAATAGACATATCTGACTTAGTTTTTCAAAGCGAGGCTATCTTTGTTCACATTATTCCCTGGACCTAGAAAGAACTTTCAATTCCTCCTCAACTTGGCAAGCAGTATCTCACGAGTGATCAGAGGACAGACCTGCAGCTGTGGCTATCTTAGTTTGAATCACATCTTCCCCGCTAACCTGCTGGGAGATGCTACTGACCCCCTGGAAGATGCTGAGCACCCAACTGGTCTCCTTGACTCTATTCTCCACTTTTAAAGCAGCAACATTCCTCATCAGTTTTCAGTGTGAGTTAAAAGAAATGTATGGACAGCACTTACTATGGCTCCTAGCTAAAACCTGGTAAAACCCCAAGAAGACATGTTTTTCAGTGTTAACGTCAACTATATATAGATTTCCTAAGGCAGCCCATGTCATCTCTTTCAACACTCACCTTCCTTCTTGGACACCCACCTAACAGACTGAAAATCCATAATGCAGGGCACATTATAAGCAGGTCTGTTTCTTATTTTCTTGTCTTAGTGTCTCTCCCTCCTCATCACCTCCAACCATATATGTATGGCTCTAACAGAACTCTCTGTGCTCCTTAGTGCTGTCCTACAAGAAGAAAGTGCTCCATATTATTCATGGATCTTCCCCTGTGCTTGGTGTGGTGGTGGCCAAGCCCACTAAAGTCCCTCAGCTTCCTCAGCTGATGAATGAAGGGATGGGATCATGTGATCTTGAGGAAGAATGCAGGTAGATGAGGGCCTAAGGGTGCAACCTGGAAGAGCCCTTAGGTACAATAATTAATTCTACTGACACTTACGGAGGGGTTACCATAAGCCAGATGCTGTCATATATTAACCTAGCACTTTCATTTTATAGATAAGAATGTCAAGGCTCTATGTTTAGTCATTTTCTAAAGTCAACCAGAGAAAATATAATGCAAACAGCACATTTTGATAAGTTCATACATGTGGTAGTGCCTCAGCACACTCTCTTATCATTCCAGGCTTTCTGGTTTTATCTGATCTACCATTTTTCCTTTTAGATGCCTTCTACCTCCTCTGATACAACTACCACATGGGCTTTTGACCTTGCAGCCACAGAGTTTCCTACAGCTGTCTCCTTCATCTCAGCTGGGCTTTGCTCCTCTACCACCCTCTTGGGAGACCTGCCCAGAAGACCACCTGATTTTCTTCATTGTCTCTCATATCAACACATTTTGCTTTATTCATAGTAATTTTTTCATAATTTATTTTTCACAAATTCTTTGGTACCCCAATTCTTTGGATAACAGTCCAAACATTTGCTCATCCATAAAGCTATGATGATTAGAATCAGCAAATTTCCTCAGAATCTACAATTGCCACAGTAAGAAATCTATGCATGCTTGTGACAAAGGTCAGGACACACCCTCCCAAAATATGACACCATGGTGTTTGAGGAAACTGGAGAAGCAGGAAAGTCCTTCTCATCCTCTCCCTGCCTTTCTTCTTGAAGCAGATTATAGAAACCAGGAGGAAGGAATTCCTCTCACTACTTCCCTGTGCTGAGCATAAAATTCAGCTGACTTTCCCCTGAAGTGATCCAAAGACCCATTCCAGAAGCTTCCTCTCTATGACCCAGAAGAAAGGCATACATATCCTTTCCTCTGAAAACATAGGGACACAGAAGAATCTGAACACACAGCTTTGCCAAGTCCCCCCAGTCATCACCATTAGGTCATGCTCCTCTGTTTTCCAATCCAACTTCTATATATGTCAGTAAAAATTCACTTTGTCTGTTGGGGGGATCATTTCTGAAAACTTCCATAGAACTTAGTAAGTTTCTATGTTTTTATGATGTTCATTTATTTCTCACTATAGTTATCTCAGCCATAAAGCTTACAATAGGTGAAAAATCTTTTCTACCCTAGATAGACACAAGACAACCTCCCCTAATGTAACAGCTTCACATAATTAGCAAAGATCTTTTAATATTGTCCTCTAAACTAACTTTCTGACTACTACCAGCTCAACTAGAGATTAAATTTTAATCTTCACTTTAACTTAGGCGTCTTATGTTCCATTTCTTTGAATTAGGTTTTTTAATTTTTCTATTTGAGCTGATTTCAAGAACAACTTCCTACTCTAATTAGATACCTAAACATAGCTCTAAACTTCAGCTCAAGGAAAATTTCAGTTTAACTCCATTTTTAACATCTCAGACAACTCTGTCTGAATTCCATATATGCTTTCCATGAACAGGGCCAGCCAGAACTGTCTTGTCTTTGTAATTTATTTGCCTATCAAAACACATGTTCACAAATAGTTATGTGTATATCCATTATATCCAACCCATGAACAAAACTATAGTGTATGGGCTGGGGATATAGCTCAGTAGCATAAGTGCCTGCCTGGGGTCCTGAGTTTGATCCCTGGTACTGAAATATATATATATATATATATATATATATATATATATATAATACGTTTAAAGAAAAAATTATTTCAATAATAGGCATGCTGCCATTAATCCCCCTGAAAAATATCCCCCTCACCTTGAAAGCCCCTATCCCATCATTCTTGCCACTTTCTAAAGCAATGCAGGAAGCCCTTTCCTGTCTCTGTGCAGGATGATCAAGAATATGGTGAGTGCTGCTACTGAGTGCCATTCAACAGGTTACGGTCTGTGTCTGGATGTCCCCAACGCCTCATGTGGTTGCTCATGGGGGGCAGGTTCTTCAGAAGTGGATGATCTGGAGTTTGTGCTTGGTTCACTGTCTGCTGCTAGGATTGGCACACTGCACTGCCCTGGGGCAGTTAGCCTGCTTACAGTACAAGAGAGGAAAAGAAGCTTTCTCTTGCCCCATTTTTCTTACTTTTTTGCTGTCTTCTGCTGCCATGGTTGCCCCTGTGTGATACCACCCTGCCTTGGAGCCAGCTGATTACAGACTGAAACCTCCATGAACTGTGAGCTAAATAAATGTTTCCTTCTTTACTTTTGGCATCTAGTGTTTTGTCTCAGCAATGAGAGAAAAGTAGTGCATTCCCATCGACCTCGTTCACTGGGTCTGGCACAGTGCAACTTCTGGCTCTTCCTCATGAAAGGTAAATGTTTTGAGTAAACTCAGGCTATCAAGACTGCCAGAGGACCCAGCATGGTGGCACACACCTGTAATCCCAGTGCTAGGGAGGCTGAATCAGGAGGATCACTATGAGTCTGAGCTCATAGTGAGGCCCTGCACCAAATACATTAAAAAAAAAATCCTGCCAGGACAGTGTATGTCCTAAAGGACATACATGAAAAAGCAATTCTAAAAAGTGGCGAGAAAAATGGCATGTTCCAAGCAAGGGAGGTGTTATTTTGAGGAGGATTGATGGCAATGTGCCTTTTATTGTAATCCATTTTTTAAAAAACTTAAACACTCACCATATTTTAACACACCTCATAAACACACATGTATGTGTATGCACGTATACATACACCTAGCTATAGAGATATGGATTTAGTCATTGACAACAAACAGGCACAAGCATTAACCAAACATTCAAAAGCTCAGAATTCACATTGAAAGGGAGAAGGAGAGATAAATTCTCTCCAAATTAAACACAGTGCTTTCAAAATATGGTATCTGATAGCTTAAGAGATACAACTGCCTGTGCCCTAGCCAAGGAGGTTAGAGGTGAGCAAAGCCCCAGAGCAGGGCAGCCATGGGAGGGGCAGCCCTAGGAGCGGGGCTGCACTTCCCCACTACCAGCCTGTGCTCTGAGCATCCTCCTCTCTGCGCTCCTGCCTCCTCATCGTTCAGTACACCAGAGAACTCAGAGAAAAACTGAAATAAAAACTGCTTTTAAAAGACAAAGTGGCTATGGATAAAGAATGTTTTCTTTCCCAGGGGGAGAGCAGGTGAGTGCTTGTGAAAGATAGAAAACTTCTTGCCATAGGAGTACAGAAGGCAAGAGGAAGTAGACCAAAGATGCAGTAAATGAAAATACCTCAGAAATGCTACAACCCTTTCTGAAGACTTGCACTTTCTGAGTCTCCCCCAGCAGCCCAGGATGCAGGGGCTACTCCTCTCAGAAGAAAACTCCTAAGCAGGGGTCTAGCTGCTTCCCATTCCCAACAAATGATTCTTCATTTACCCTTGAATTAATTCAGTCATTTTAAAACCAGCACGCAGACACACAGAACAGAAGCAGGAATATGGAGCCACCATTGTATATCAAAGGGCTCAGAGAGAACTCAAGCAGCAGACCAGAGCCAGCCCCC